TTTTTTTCATATGCATTATTTCGTATGCACAGTTTCCATATGCACAATTTCAGGGTGCCGGGTAAAGCCCCCAAATGCAGTGTTTTTTTGTTTCCCCGCCACGACGCCTTGGCCAGAAAGTTGGTAGAGTTCTGCCGACAGGAGAAGCCATACAATTTAGACACCAGCAAGAGTGGTCCTATATTTTTTGTTAACGTTGTGCTTAATTTGATATATTCAAAGATGGCTTGAGAAATTTGTGAATCTTGAAGAAAACACGTTTTCTCACTGCAAATTCACAACTGTCAACTCATTGTTCTTCGCCATATTCTTTGTTTACCCGTTGCCACAAATGTCATTCTGCGGGAATGCACAATCTTGTATTCTATTGTTCTTGGGTCGATACTATCAATAATAACGGAAGTCCAGTCAATTTAAATAAAGCTGGAACTCCATAGGCTAGCATATGCGTACGTGAACGTAAGCGTGCGTTTGAAAGCTGAGTTGTATACACATGTTCTTATGGGATAAACTCCATAAGTACGCGCGTAAGCGCAGAGAGAATACATATAACTACATATTTTGATGGAGAATTTTTGCGGCTTGGTATCAGTGTGACCGTTTTGATCCAAGTGGATCAAAACTGATACATTTTTCGATGAATTTTGGAGAGATACTTTTTTTTTCAATTTTGATACTTTTCCAAATACAAATGAAAAAATCTGTAAATTTTTATGCATTACAAAACATGTCGTACACCTGTGGCAACGTGCATCCAAATGTTCATTGTCGTTCTCTGAACGAACCTTTCATGTAATGCGATTCATGGTCCATGTCGAAAAACGTCAAAATGTGAACAAACGAACACTATCATAGCGCTGCATTTTTTATTTTCGCTATGTTCAATAACAAAAATTAGGGCTTGGCACTCGGTAATTCGGTGCTCGGTAAGGCCCTGTTTCCTCAGGAGAACACCAATGTCGTGATAACCATGTCACAAAATATATTTCCAATGGATACCGCCTTATTGCTTTACATCTATTGCAGGCAATTTGATAGTTTGACACCCATATTTTCACTTGATAGAAATCGTGCTGGTGGTTATATCGATGAAATATTAATATTAAATCAAAATAAGAATCTGTTCCCTATTGGATTATTTAAGTAAGTTTGTTTAAGATTTAAATGTATTTTAACACCGAAATTGAGAGAATGTTGTCTGGCGGCGTCATGCGGCAAATGCTTATACATATCAAGACATCAAAGTGCCCACACACAACAGTTGGTAGGCAATAAAAATTGCAAGGTGTAACTGCAACTGAAATTACGCAAATCGCATTCACGAAATAATTTCAACTTGCTCGTGAAACAAATGTTAAATTGTTTTGGAAAATGGTTTTTCATAAAAATTATTGGTTTTATACCATATTTATGCTTTGATACTTAAATGAAAAAAAGTGATACATATTGATACATTTTAAGTCTCTTTTCGGCTACAATTTTTCACAACCCCGCGGCAACACTGCTTGGTATGTATTTTCTTTATAAATATGTATAAAAATGTGTATGCATGCTGCATCAACTTTACGAAATGACAACTGACAAACACGTGTAAGCGCACACTATGGAGTTGCTTAGTTTTTACGCACGTAATCGCATGTGTTCCAGCTTAACTAGCGATAGTTTTAGTACTACCGTTTCATTGGGCGCGTTTCTAAGACGCAGCTGTTGTTAAACTGTTCAGTGTTTGTTTTAGAAACGCACAGTTGAGTAGTTCCGCTCAGCTCAACGGTTGTGTATTGGACGCCATTTTTTCCACCATAAAATTATTTCGCTACATGAACTCAACAATTTAAGTCAAAAATAATTTTTCCCTTCCGTCAGTTTTCATAATAAATTCAAAAATAAAAAATATGAAGCTGAATATAAATAATATAAAATACACGTGTGCATTTAAAAGAAATGGAAAATTTGTGGACTTATAAGCATAAATATGCATTTAAGTAATACATATGTATAATATGTATATACATATGCATAATACGTATATTAGGAATGTTAATCTCGGGATCCCGGGATCCCGGACTTTTAAGCACTCCAAAATCCCGGGATTCTTGGAAAGTAGTCCCGGGATTTTCGGGATTTGTAATTTGAACTGATGGCAATAATAGAAACTCCTTTTCTTGACCAGTATTGGCTATATTTATTTTTTTATTTAATAATTTATATTTTTTTTAAATGTCTAGCTCATTGTACATATAACACCGCTCGATAGTAAATTTTTAACACAAATATCAATATATTCGCAAAACCGTGGGCCAAATATAGTAAAATTGCGTTTTTAGTTTTTCACTCTAACGTCAGTAATTCAAAATGATTTAAAAGATTCAGAGAAATGTGCTTAGAGAAGAAGTATGGGTATAAAATTGACGAGAAAATCCTGTAGAATTTAAACATATTCCGATTTCTAGTGCAGAAGGGCTGGTAAATACTGAAAATGTCATTTTAAAATTTTATCCTTGAAATTTCGCAATATTTGTTCTAATTTCGTTCTTCTCACTTTGTCAGCTTAAAAATTATCTATTCGTCCTGGTGAAAACTTAAATTTTTTAAATTCTAAAGAAATTTCCTGTTGCATTTGTTAACCATATTTTTATTCTACATTGCATTGAATTTTTTAATAAAGACCTTCAAAATAAATCCTGCTGTCAGAGGTAAAAAATAAAAACGCCACTTTATATAAAACAGTAGGTTTCAAGCCATGGTACAATAATTACAGGTATTGTCTTCCTAGAGAGTTTTGCTTCACATCGAAGTTCCTGCTCCCTTATTTTCATTTTGACATAGTTCAATGTTATTCTTTTACTTTTATTTGGCTTTGCTTTTTGTTTTCGCTCAATTTAATTTTTATAATTTTTTAAAACAAAAGGAAAAAACGTTTGAAATTAAGTGAGCCATATAAATTTTGAATCTATTTACAAGCAAATGTTTTTTCCCCGGCTTTTGCAAATTGAATAAGTTCTCTGTAAGATGGTTTGTTGAAAAAAATATGTGAACATATATGGTATATGGGGTATGGAAAAATAAATATTTCCAGCAGTAAACGTTTTAGTGTGGGCAACAATGATATTTTTTAAATAAGGCAGATCGGAATATGCGCTCTCTGGGAAGACAATACCTGTAATTATTGTACCATGGTTTCAAACCCACTTATTTATTATTTATTTCATGGTAGGAGAGCTTCTCAAACAATATAGAAGCAATTTTTTCGATTCAAGTTGTTGAAAAGTAATGAATATCTAAATCCCGGGACTAATCCAGGGATCGCGGGATGTTGACAATACCATCCCGAAAATACCGGTATCGGAAAAAGCCGGAAAATTAACATCCCTAATTTATATACATACGTATAATATGTTCGTATGGAATAGTAGCTTAAGTTAGGAGGCGGGCTTTTGTATAGTGTACCATTCGCAGCTGACGATTACGAATATCGCACTGACACCGTGCCCTTGAAGACCCTTGGCAAATAAACGTAACAAATAATTCTGGTGCAAGCAACTCAACATTCTTTGTGCTTTAAGGAACAAACGGAATGGTGTATTATACTAAAGCTAGCCTCACGACTTAAAGTTATATACCACACGATCACAGATATATTTACATACATATGTAAGTACATATGTATGTATGTAAATTCCTTGTAAACTAAACTTTCTTCTATATGAATAAAAAATAAATAAAAAATATGTGGCTGAATCCACGGCTAATCCGGAGTTGGTTGCAGTTATAGATGCCGATGCAGGTAAAAAAGAAGCTATACGTACTTTAAATTTAATACCTTTGTACATATGTATGTATATATTTTTGGCTTTCTAGTTTTGTACTCTTTTATTTAATTTTGCTTGTTTACAAATATCAGCTGTTCGTTTGGCAGTTTATGTATCATACCGTTTCTAAGACCTGACTGTTGGACCCAATTGATGGCGTATTCTACTTCCTACTACCTTTGACATACAAGGTTCCAGAAGGAAGGTATTCATATAAATAAATAATATGTGGCTGAATCCACGGCTAATCCGGAGTTGGTTGCAGTTATAGATGCCGATGCAGGTAAAAAAGAAGCTATACGTACTTTAAATTTAATACCTTTGTACATATGTATGTATATATTTTTGGCTTTCTAGTTTTGTACTCTTTTATTTAATTTTGCTTGTTTACAAATATCAGTTGTTCGTTTGGCAGTTTATGTATCATACCGTTTCTAAGACCTGACTGTTGGACCCAATTGATGGCGTATTCTACTTCCTACTACCTTTGACATACAAGGTTCCAGAAGGAAGGTATTCACGTTTTGGCGAATAAATAAAATAAAAATTATTTCCATTGAAATAAAAGAGTAGAGTTTTCGTTTTTAATGTCTTTAATGATTTGGCATACCTAAAGAATCCGCGCCTTTGAGCTAGAGAAATAAGAAAAAGTGGACGTGGTGCATCCCTTGCTGCTGAGTTTATAGGTAAACTTTTTTTTTTTGGTGCAAATGAGCAGGGGCGGCCCTAGAGGGTGTTAAACGTGGAATTTTCAACATTTTCAAAAGCTTATATTTCAAAAACTATTGAACCGATTTTCAAAATATGGGCACCGTTGGAATTGGAGGACCTTTCATTCGATGTATATATCTATGTATATAATATAAACATATTTCGAGAAAAAGTAAAAAAACGAAATTATGGAATTTTTTTATAAAAATGTATGTTTTTCGCAAAAAAATATGTAATTAACTATAATAACAAATATTTTTATCAGAAAGACCAACAAAATACCTTTAGTTTGGCGTATAATTTTATATAGTTATGCTTAAGTACAACTGCCAACAGTAATATAAAACAAATGTATGTATTAATGCTAAGGCGTGGGCGTGGCACCTACAACCACCCTTTTTGGAGAGGGTATGAACCGCCATTGACAAAAATGTCGCCCGGACCACCTAGTCTTCCTATTGTTCCCTAGGGACCCCTTAGAAAAATGGCCAAAAATCACAATTTTCATTTGCGTCTTTTCGCTTGAAAAATGTTGAATGTTCATTTGTACAGGACATTTTTTGCAGTCAACTAAAAGAAAAGAAAGGCGCGGTTTGAAGAACAAAATGGGATTTTATTTAATTTACAGTTCGTAGCTGCGAATAACGTTAAAGAATCTTTACACCAGTTAGGATCAGCCTTTTTATATCAATCGCCTGCCAAAACAAGTTCCTGTTATTTTCTTATGTACTCGGCATTACCTTTTCTCTTCACATTCGTTTCAGCGCTGCTTGTAAGCATGGGTCAGCTGACTCAATCGGTTTGTGTTGCCGTATTGTTCGTGCTACCGCACGTTTAATAATTATTTATTGTGGCTTTCGCCACATTTTTATATACAAATTTTTATATAGAAGACATTTTTATAAATCACCCAGTAACCATAATAGACATCACTGGGCCGGCAGCCCCAGGTTTACGACACAGAAAGGGAATTCTAATTACCTCATTTTATTTTTTTTATTCCAAATTTTCGCCTGCGCCGCTTTTCCTTTTTTTTATATAAAACGATATTTTAATATTTATTTAGTCAAATATGATGCGCAGAAGAGTTTTTGCTTACAAATCATATATCAATTTAAAAGTATTTGTGTGCTCTTTCTGATAAACATATATGTTAATATGGTAATTATGTATTTTTTACGAAGAACATACATTTTTATAAAGAACTTTGTTATAGTTTCGTTTTTTTGTACTTTATCTCCAAATGTGTATATATAATATGTATAGATATAGATAATGAATAAAAGGCCTTTCAATTACCTTGTAATTTGTGTCCATACTTTTGAAATCGGTTGAACAGTATACGCTTTTGAAAATGTTGAAAATTGTACGTTTAGCGCCCCCTAGTTCCGCCCCTGTCAATTTGCACAAAAAAAAAATATGCCAAAATCAAAAAAAAGGGGCGGGTCACGCCCACTTTTTCTTTTTTCTTTAGCTCAAAGGTCCGGATTCTTTAGGTGTTCCAATGATTTAACCCCGGAGTACGGGACTAAGGATAATAGCGAGGGTGGAGGGGGTGCTAATAGTCGTCTATGTAAAGTTTCAAAGCGCGGAATCTTATAGTTTTGAAGTAATTTGTTATTAAAGTTTGTAAATTTAACAAAATTGTGTGGCACTATTTGACCATGGTTAATGCACTTTCCACTAAATTACACGTTATTTACACTCAATATATGTTCACGAGTGTGCACGACCAAACAAATAAATACTTTTAGGGCCGGTTATTCAATGTCTGGGTAACACTAATCGGAGTTTAAATATAGTTATCGACGTTACCGAAACCCTGTTGTATGCATGGAGTCGAAGACATCGATAACGATGTTTAACCGCAGATTAGTGTTAACTAGATATTGAGTAACCGGCCCTAAGTATGTTACAGATTTTTGATGTGCATACATCTTTGGTTACGGTAGGGGTAAAATTTGCGAAGCTGTAACACATAGCCTAGCAGAAAATTTCGAAGGGCTTAGCATGTGTAATGCAGCAGAAAATTTTTAATTTCATTAGAAGCACCATGTGTTTACTTGCTATTGCAAATGGTTGCATACATTTTGGCATATGCAGAGTAAGAGGAAATGCAGTTCAAATGATTATTACTTCCGATAATGCAAACTCCGTGACGCATACGACTATATACCTATATTTATACATGCATACTCAAGTTTGTATGTACATACATATGCTTGAACTCATTTGGTGCAAGTGGTTTTGATATTCGCAGCATGGTTTTAGGCAAAGGTTTAGCAGTCTATTAATAAAAAAGGAAGGCGAAAATTTTAACAATACTGAAAACATTTTAACTGGGTCCGTTGATAGCTGATGAACATATAAGAACATATGCATATATACTTATGTATGGATGATGTAATAGCTCTGATCCAATACTTTTCGTGTGAAATCCTGTTAAAACGTCAAACAACAAAATTACTCTATGAAGTGAGAGTAAAAATTACTCTATGAAGTGTGAGTAACAGCAAAAAGTACGGGAACAAAAAAGGCATCGAGTAAAATCTTGCAACTTCATTTTCTACACAAGTCTCCAAAAATCGCCCTCATTACAGGATTTTGGAGTACGCGATCATTTTTCCCGTAACTTCCTGCAAGTTCGTGTAAAAACCTGTAAATTCATTGAGTACTGGATCAGAGCTAATACAAGATTGCACAAAGAGAAGATGGGAGTAATAGAAAAAGCCGAAGAAATGGATTTAGTTTCCCATTTTGCAAACAAAATACATATGTATTCATGATTTTAACGTAAACCTAGTGACAGATGAAGCAGAACAACAGATTAAATTTCTAAAAAATAACTAAATTTAGGAATATATACAAATAGAAATGCTCAAACTACAAGCTCAAAAACAGTAATTGATGCGGTGTTTTCAAGATATTTTAACGCCCTTGAGTCACAAGTATATACAAGTGTAATATTTTATCAATCATACCGATAATTTTATGTATTAAAAGAATTAAAAATGAAAATAATTTAAAAAAGATTAAATCAGCAAAATGTATAAAATTAAGTGAAGTTAATATTTAATTTCTAACCTAACTTACATGTGTATGTATGTAACTGAATCCCTTAATAATAGGTTTACATATAAAAAGATTATCCTCATTTTCCGGTACTTTATACGCTTGGTTTTTAGATGTGGCAACACAGTCCGGCCGTCATTTGCAAATATTCTGCATGTACTCTTATAATAATTTAACAATTAATTTTTCATAAAAATAAGGCTGTAATATACTAAAAGTAAAGTAAAAGAGCATACTCTAACGGCACATATATTGAGTGTAAATAACGGGTAAAAATCCCAATAGCAACATCGACGCGGTTGAGTGCAGACGTGTTTTTCTTTGCTCGTAAATATCCAAATTTATCTCTTGTCATTCGCGATGTCTAAGTGCATTAATTGTAATAATCATTTCAACGGAGATGATTTTATCTCCTGTAATATCTGCTGCCAAAAAGTGCATATAATTTGTTCAAAATTAAACTCTGATTGTATCAATTATTTAAAAACAAACACAAATTTTTTGTTCAGATGTTATATCTGCGTTAACAGCACTATACCGATGTGTCTCTCCAAACTGGAAAAAGTGTGCTTATCTTTAAGTGAAATTCAGCAAGTTCTTGTGGGTGTTAGCTGTGCGAATAACACAAATCTGTTTCTCAGTGATGAGAACAAAAGTCAAACCGCGATGAAGACGCGCTCTAAAGCAAAGATCAACGACTCGTCAAACTCTAATTCGTCGGCTCCTCTTAATAAAGCTAAACGTGCTCAGTCAAAGTCAACACAACAAAATGCCAAGAGCTCGCAGGCCTCTCTGCTTGCTGTTGATGGGGACTCTGAGAATTATGCAGCCCCGCGCAATCATGTTGTTGCTGCTGGCGACGCCGCTGTCGAAAATGTAGTGCATGGGTCTGTTGTTGCTGCGTTATCACCGAATTCACATATTTCCACCATTCGTAATCAGCTTACTTCTAGTGCTGATGTTCCTACAAACATTACCTTCACTGCTTGTGCTGCTGCTTCTACTAATGCTGCCTTCACTGGTTGTGAGCCCTCAGTCGCTGCTAAATCGCCTGTCCTAAATGTAAATGTTGGCAGTCGAATTAATAATGCTGATAATGCTGATTGGTACACTACGAGAAGGCGAGAACGTAAGCAGTCAGCTGTTGTGGTTGGTTCTAACATTAGCACGGAACTCAATGTTGCAGTGCGCAACACTTGGTTTCATCTCTCTTCTTTCATGCCAAATGTAACTGAAGATGACATTATTAAATACGTATCTAAAAATACTGTCATTGCTGTTAAGGATATATTATGCTACAAACTGGTAAAAAAGGTGACTCCACTGGACCCTACAAGCGGTTTAATTTTAAGCTTGGTATTCCCTCCAAACATCGGAACTTGGTGCTTAGTGCTTCATTGTGGCCTAGATGTTAGGATCAAACCTTTTCGTTTTTTTCAAAAGCGGGAACTGTGCGTGACCAATTCATGAAAGATAAATGCGCTCCGGTGTTTGCCCTTAATAAGCCGTCTGGTCTGAACATCTATTTTCAAACCATATCAGGTTTAAGAACGAAGTCTGATGTTGTTAGTTCCTTTAGTGCACAGATGGATTACGATATCTTCGTAATTGTTGAAACTTGGCTTAATTCCGATTTCCACGATGGTGAATTTTTCGATCTCAATCAGTTTGACGTATTTCGTAAAGAAAGAGATCCTTCTAAAACTGGCTCCCTCAGAGGAGGAGGTGTTCTTTTCGCCGTTCGACGAAAACTCTAGGCATATATGGTAACTCTTAACAACGATGACTC